TATATGCATTAGTAATGATATATATATATATATATTGTAGTTATGTGTATATGTGTTTTATTAATTATAAATAATTTTATTTTTAATATATATATATATTTATATATATATATATGTGAATTTATATGTATATATTAATTTAAATACATGTAGATGAATATTTGGATATTTAATAATATTTTTGAATGCTGAGTCAACAATTTTTTGCTGAGTCAATAGTTTTTTTTATTGAGTGAGGAGTTTTTTGCTGAGTCAGCACTTGAGTTTGTTTGATTTGGAAAAAATTTAAAAGTTTGGGTATTTATGTGGGAATTTTGAAAAGTTCAGGTATTTATATGATAATTTTATAATTCGGATATTTATTTAGAATTTTTGTAAAAATTCAGATATTTTTACGCCATTATCCCAAAAAAAATGTTTTAAGGAATATTTTGTTATTTTTACAATTTAAAATAATGAGGAAAAAGCTAGAAAACAAAGTATCTTCGGCCCATTTCCTTCTTCATTAGCTCCACGCGATTTGGGCTTCCTTCTTCTCGCTGTTCTTTTCTAGGGTTTGTAGAGAAGCAAAGCAGGCTCGCAATTTCCTTAACACAGTCTCACGATTTGGGTTTCTTTCTGTTTTCGACTCTGCCTCTGTTCTGAAACTCACGATGTCGCTGGTGGTTCGGAGAGTGGCTGCCTGCACGTTGTCCTCTGCATCATCTCTGATTTATTCTCCTCTCTCGGACGAAGGTATACCCAACACAGTCTTACGTTGTTCGTCTGCTTTGTGTTGTCGGAGATTGGCTTATTCTGGTGTCAGAGACAGCGATATGTCGTTCAGAGAGAGATTAAGATGTGGGTTTGCTGATAGTAATGCCGATGAAGCTCTTCCTTTGTTCCACCAGATGGTTCAGTCTCGCCCCCTCCCTTCAGTTATCGATTTTGCCATGTTATTGAGTGCCATGGCCAAGATGAAACGATATGATGTTGTGATTTCTCTTTGCAAACAAATGGAATTCGTCGGGGTTTCACATGATCTCTACACTTGCAGCATTCTGATCAACTGTTTCTGTGGCTTGCGTCAAGTGGTCTTAAGATTTTTGGTTTTGGGAAAGATCATGAAATTGGGTTACGAGCCAATGCTGTCACATTCAATACCCTAATCAATGGATTCTGCATCGGGGATGAAGTTTCCGTTGCTTTAGACTTGATAGAGCGAACGGTGGATGCGGGACTTCAACCTAATGTCGTAACATTTAATACTGCTGTCAACGGACTTTGTCTCAAGGGTAGAATTCATGAGTCAGTAACTTTGGTTGATTGGATTGTAGAGAAAGACTGTCATCCCGATATATTTACGTATAATACTGTTTTAAATGGGATTTGCAAAATAGAGGATTATGCTTTAGCTTTGGATTGGATCACGAAGATGGAGGAAAAGTGCATGATGGTCAATGCCGTAACTTATAATACACTTATCGATTGTCTTTGTAAATCTGGAAATGTAGATGATGCGCCATTTTTAGTAAGATGGGTGAGCGAGGAGTTGCATCCGATATTATTACGTATAACATTTTGATAAACAACCTCTGTATTTGCGGTAGATGGAATGGTGCCTTGCGATTGTTGAAGGATATGATCAGAAAGAAAATCTCGTCCAATGTTGTTACTTTCAACGGATTAATCGATCTTTTCATTAAAGAGGGGGAGTTTTTAGAGGCTAAAGTACTTGATGAGCAGATCACCTAAAGAGGATTGGTTCCAAATACAATCACTTATAATTCATTGATTGATGGGTTTTGCATGGAGAATCGTCTTGTTGAAGCAAGACAATTGTTTGATTCTATGGTTAGTAAGGGATACTTTCCAAATGTAGTGATGTTTGGTGCTCTCATAAATAGATATTGCAAGTCTGGTAAGGTTGATGAGGGTATGAAGCTTAGTGAGATGTCTCAACGAGGGGTGGTTGCAAATAACATAATTTACAACTCTCATATAAGGATTGCCCACACGCTTTTCTTCGAGATGCAACATCACAGTCCACATCCTGACATAGTGACTTTTCACGATTTTGCTCGATGGGCTGTGTAAAAATGGAAAACTTGAAGAGGCATTGAAATTATATAACAAGATGGAAAAGAACGGGACAGTTGTACATAGTGTTATCATTCATGGCTTGTGCATGGCTAAGAAGGTTGACGAGGCATTGAAGTTGTTTAATTTGCTTGTTGATAAGAGGGTGGATCTTGATCTCAAAATGTATAATAAGATGATTTCAGGTCTTTGTAGAAAAGGTTTATTGGGTAAAGGCGAAAAGCTATTTAGAGAGATGAAAAAGATTGGTTGTTTCCCGGATGATCGTACATATAACGCGTTGATCCATGGTTATCTAAAACATGGATATACGGTAATGGGTATCAAACTTACACGAGAAATGCGGAGCTGTGGGTTTTGTGCAGATGCATCGACCACAAAGATTGTGGTAGATATGTTATCTGATGGTAGATTGGACAAAAAGTTTCTGGATTCTCGTTGATATGTCAAATGCATTGAGGCCTTCAAAGGAGTTTATTCCTTAGGTATGGAAATTTCCTTTGCTTATTATTGATTGGCAAGGAACAATTGCTAATGTTTCTTATAATGGATATGAAGGTATATGAAATGGAGTGTGAACTTCGTCATTGCATCTTTGATGCAGAAGCCAACGTGGCAAAGTTTTCTTGCTGAGGAAAACATCACAATGACCCTGGCTGCGTCAGAGTCTTCAGCAATGTGGCTTCCTCCATCAATGGATATGAGCAACCTTTGTTTTAATCTCCAAATTCTGTCTGTTTCTTCACTTTCGTAGGAATGTTTCTGACTCGGAAATGTTTGGTCTCTCCGTTTCTTGCTTCCATTTTGGGAAGCAGACTGATTTTCACTTCGCCATTGAAATGAGTAGCAGAAACAT